GTCAATTTTGGATTCGTCAATGCTTGAGACGGGATGGGCATGATTGGATGAAAATGGAATACTCTACCTAAAAACAGTAGACCTGACGTAGCTAGAGCATATACATATATGGAGGCGTTATTAATATTAAAATGAATAACTCAAAGTCTTTCAATTCAATAATGATACAATATTCAGCGTTCTAACATGATTAATGTCGAATTTCACGAGCTGTTAAACGACGTAGATGATAGAGTGATCGAGACCGTTTATCCTTAAGAATATTCTTCCGTTGCAAAGTCCATCAAAGCAGTAGATTTTGCGTGAATGAATTATGAATTTATGGATACGCTATTCATATTAAAAAGCATCAAAATCTTCCAATTCAATTACGATAAAACACCTAACATTCTAACATTACTATGAAATCAAGAGTTCTATTTCATCGTTCCAGGATAGAGTTAGAGAACAATGCCCGTTTTTTCTCAGTTATTCTACACCCTCGTTTTAAGAATAAACCAGTTGAAGATGAAATTGTAGCCAACGAAGTAGCTCAGCTGGTAAGAACAGTAGGTATAGTCACGCATCTTAATGAAACATTCGACCTGCGTTTAGGAACGTTATCGAGACCAACAGAGGTTGCTTTGATGAATTCGATCAAATAATGGGACTTTTCAGTTGCTTGCTCAATTGAAGCTAGAAATGCTATTTTAATCATTATGTCGGTGTGATATAAGTATTGCTAAAAAATAATAAGAACCTTCATTTTTTCAGCTGGATCGTCATAGGTAGTATAAAGGGCAGTACCGGCTTGGTGTTACCTGGTAAGGATACATTGATTTGTGTTTCTTGACAAATCGAGGGACTGGTCGAATCTGACGATCCAGTCTACTAACCTGGTCGCCTTAAACTGCGCAGGTTCGAATCCCACCCCAACAGATCCGTAGATAGTAGGCGGTCCCGGACTGATGAACGTGGAGGTACCACCCGGCGGCACTCTAAGGCGGGGCCACAATGTGTTAATGGCACATGCTATAGAGTCCTTGTAACGTCTCTCTCATTCCCCTTAAGTTCCTCATTATAAAAATATTAGACAAGTATTATCAAGCTACTGTTACCATTTACGCTACCTTTGATGAGTCGCTGTGTAATACTGGTGATAACATATACCACTATTTACGAGTAGGTCCAAAATTAATTACACTTATCGGACGATATCAAGGATCTACGCTGTGTGAATAAGTTCACGAAAAAGTTAAAAAAAATAGATTTTCTCTTTGGCAACGCCAGACGTATACAAATTAATAGTAAATGTGATCAAATAATTCGTTGATTATATCTTTTTTCATATTTCAGTAATAGAGTTGCAACATCTATGGTCCATGTACAGGCAATGCCTCCTATGGGCCGATACTTCATATTTATTTACTCATTCTTTGTATTGTGCTTTAAGAGTAAATAAACATTATTATTACTCTTATTATTATTGTTATTATTATAATTATTATATCTGAAATGTTATTTTTTCACTAGCACTAATTCAATCTTATAGTCAACGCCAAACAAAGTGGCGTGCACGTCATCAAGGTGGGTGTGTTGAAAAATTTACATTGTTGCCAAACTTTTTGTAAAATAATAAAATTTATTATTTACATATCTAGGTTTATAAGCAATATTAACCTCAAATGAGAACAAAAATAATAGTATAATAAAATTATAGATCTGTACTTGCATAATCATTAAGTATGACAATTATTGATCAGATGACACTATGAAACTACCATATTCAATTGATAGCTTAAAGGTACTGAATAAAAATCCAAATGGGGTCCTCCAAATTTTATGCATGGTATTTATTTTACAGAATTCATACAGAAAAATGCATTCTAAAATTAGGTAAGCTACTGGTGTAAGCTTTTTCTGTACAATAAAGTTAGTCGGAGTTTCTTTCTTCAGCGCTGTCTGAATCTGAATCTTCATCACTCTCAAAGTTGATTATTAAAGGTTCGATGTCTGGTCGATCAAAAATTCGTTCTCTTTCATACCATTTAAAAATTTCTTGCTCAGTATGTCGAACACTATTTTTCCACATGTCTGGGGTAACCGTTTGTAGAGCCTCGTTCCACATATCCAAACAGTCTTTTTCACTGTTACCATCTCTACCAATATGTCTGTTATAGTAACCTTTTGCTATGCCCCAAATTAACTCAATAGGGTTAAATATACAATGGTAAGGAGGCAGACGAAGAACTTTGTGCCCATGTTGTTCCGCCAATTCATCAATCACGTATATTTTAGGTGGTTTGTTTCTAAAAAAGCAGTTATTTTGAGAATAGGAATAAACAAAAGAAATATAAACTGTCGACCAAAATATATATAATTAAGAAGCATTATGTACCGAGCAACAATACTCAATAGCTCTGTTTTAAACATTGTGTTTAAAAATGGTATGTTTTGATTTGTCAACCAGTCTTGGATATTTTTTTTGTCCATGCATTGTTGGGCACTTTGTTCAATATCATGCTGTGATAAGGGGCGTTATCCAGCATAATCATAGATGGACTCTCCAATTTTTCTAATAACTGATGTTGAAACCATTTCAAAAAATTGTCCTGGTTCATCTCTCCATGGTAATCGCTCAATTTTGTTTTCGAAGAAAATATCGCTTCACTACCCTCAATAAACCCATTTTCATTTCCAGCATGTAATATAATGTATCTAAAATTTATTAGTTTTAAATTTTATAGTGCAAATTGTGTAAAAGTACATACCTTTTACCATCTGTTTTAATAGCTTTCACGCTTTTTTGGTTTCCATTTTGCCAAGAGCGACCTATGGTCCCATTTTGAAATATCCAAGTTTCATCGAGGAAGACAAACTGGTATAAGGCCTCAACCTTGGCTTGATTGTATTGCCTTAGAAATTCCACCCTTTTCAAAGCTATACTTGGTAGTTCCATGAGCCCACGTCGCGGATTGTCCTTAAGCCACTTAAATCCAAGATCTCTAAGCAACCGCCTTAAAGACGTGGCACTACCATCAAATAATGCCCTATCTCTTAATCGAGACCATAAAGTTTGTATCGTAACTTGTTCTTCTGAAACCATGTGTAATATGACATTATAATTTAGTTAACAAATTAATGCAAATTTCTGATAAGTTATTATTATGATAAGATCTTACTTTTGTGATACATATTATAGATCACTTCTCGAATGGCACTTGTATCCAATGTCGCTGTGTTGGTTACACGTTTAATATAACTCCGCTTTTTCTTGGGCGATTCTAAATTTGCATCACTTTTCACACCCTCGGAAATACGACTAACTGTCCTTAAACTAATTTTTAAAGCAGCAGCAATACGCTACAAAAAATGAAATAAAATTTCACTATTATTAATATACATTACATATAATTATTAGTAACCTACCTCTTGAACAGCATTTAAAGGCAACAAAGGCCCGTTGTTGTCCCTTTCTTGCTCAAAGTAGTGCATTAACGAGGCCACGAGTTCCTTACACCGACTATTTAACTGTTTGGGCATCTTTATATACCAAAATTGCCTTTATCTACTCGTAAAATGAATAATTTTGTTTTGAAACAAACAGTTGTTGATTTACAGTATGCGGGGCCAAAGGATTTATAAAGATTTGAAATGCCACAAATTGATTCAGTGTCAAAATTAATACAAATGTCAGTTCCCAGTTTAAGTATGTTTCAAGGTGACAATGTGTCAACGCTGCGAAATCGGTTTAGTGCGTTTACATGTCGATAAGTGATTGGAGCGTTTGCAAAACATTTTATTTCGCATAATGCGTCTAAATTTTATCAGAAAGCAACTTATGTGATATTTTAATAACAATGTTTATATGACTATTAACCATAATAAGAGAGTAATGACCATTTTACAATTTATATATCACATTAATATGAAACTGCAATAGAGCAATTGTTTGTGATAGAAACCTAGGCATTAGGTCGGGGAATTTTTATCGTGATGACGTGCACGCCACTTTGTTTGGCGTTGACTATATATACATATTATAATATGAACGATTTCAAAATGAAAAGATAAATCTGACGACAAAAGTTGAAACAACTTTTTCCATATTTGGACATTCTTCTTTCACATTACCCTTTGATCTAACATATAACATGAAGCGCTTCAAAGATACTATTCGTTTTGATTTATGTTTATGTTCAACTGCTTTATAGCCTTACCAAGTTAGCGCATATGAGAGCAGGTGAAGTTCAAAAACGGTTTCAAGTAAATTGACTATAAGTAGTGCTTTATGCGAATTCATATCCGAATTTTAAAATACTGCTAAAATTCTTTTACCGTACCTTTTTACTTCCCATGCCTGCTGGCGAGGAAGTATTGTAGTCGCAAAATATATGGAAAGTGAGATATTATGTTCTTAGGATGTTATACGACATGCACATCACGAAAAACCATGTTACTCATTTCCGTTGGTCTGTTTGTCGGTCTACCAAGTTCGCTAATCCTTGGTACGCCTATAACTTGTAAAATGGATTTGGATGAAATTTTCAGACAGGGTTAACACTATGCCAAGGTCAAAAAGCCTTATATCTAGTTTTTGAAAATCGGTCCAGTGGTTGTGGGGAAAAAGGCCAAACAAAAAAAACTGAACGCCGAAACTTTGTTTTTTGATGTTTCTGAAGGTGGGAGAAGGTATGTCTCAATTTTTTGACGTTGGTATATCTATACGCATCCAACCCCGGTAACTCGACACACCTATTAGACAAGCTTCACTCATCTTAAATTAACTCGTATGTTTACCCTTAAAAATGAATAAACAATAATAAATAATTTCCAACAGTTGCTGTTCGATTATCGTGTGTCGCAGTCGTTTTCGTGCTGCTATGGGTATGCGTCAAAGCGACGACCATGTGCGCCCACCGAAATTTCTCTCAGGGGAAAGTGGATTAATTTTTTTGTCATACATTTTCGTAGCTGACTTTTACTCGGAATGGTAAAAGGCCGAACATAATCTTTCATGAACTGATGATATATAACGCCATTCTTTGCTGTTGCAGGCGGCGGTATTCCAGGCATAGGCGTATCAATGGCTCCGTCGCACGTGGCGCTTAGTGGCAACTTCCACGTGCAGATCACCTCCAGGTCCTTTCCACCTCTCATGCTGCAGCTATCCAGGTTGGAAGGCAACCTGGCTCAGGCTTTGCTCACCATGCCCATCTTTCCGGAGGCAGCGGCTCTTAACAGCAACGCAACAATTGTCAAGATACCCTGTGGATACTTCTCGAGAGGTGGACAGTATTATATAATCATCAAGAAACAGCCTATGGGTAAGTCCTCTCTAGTCATAGTCTATAAAAGAACTAATACTTTCGACCGCCTTTCATTCTTCTTCAAATTTGAGTGCCGGTTTGTTGTTGTATGTGTGGATTCTTTTCCATTAGAGCAGCCGCGTAGGCGGTCTTTTTATTGATCCAATTTCTGAGATGCCTCGAGTTAGCAGATATGGGAAGGCTGTTTTCTACATACCAGATACTCTGACACCCTATGATCAAAGCAGCACCTTTATCGGCCATTAGGACTACAACGAGGGGAAGGGGGTATCAGAGAAGCAACATCTACTGGCATATTGATATCAGGAAACCAGATTATATGTGTTACAAAAAGGAACATGTTTCCGCTTCAACGATTGTTCGACTTTGTTGATATCATTACTTCTCATATAAAGCTCATGGAATAAGTGCGATCATCCTCTAGTGTAACTATCTACCCGCGTCTGATATAGGAAGTTAAGCATTGGTAAATACACGCTATATTTTTCATGTTTTTAGTCAACCTTGGATGTGGATAGACACCCATCTTAAAGTTGACGAACTTTGTGACTTCTCGCGTTTAAAAAGAAAGGCTTATACAGAACAGTTTGTTTAAACTAATTTTAATCTTCCATCCACCTTCATTATAATTATCACGGCATATTTTGAAACGAAATTCACGTCATACCCATTCGTGTCGTGTGAAGCTTTTACTATGCACTACCTCAAAATTAATTTCACCATTCTGACGTTAAGCTTCTACCTACTAATTACGTTTTATGTTTTCATTCCATGGAAATTTAAAAATAATTCCGTGTCGCTTTCTTTCATTCATTAATGTAGCTTTGCACGTCATAACATCACAACTCAACATGCTTTTAAGTTGTTAATTGAATGAGCCCAAGTGAACATGTTTCCGTGAAACTAAAATATGGTATTTGTGGCTTACGTTTCGACTGTGTGCTAGATATTTTCGAGATAAGCTAAACTAATCTTACGAAAATTGCAAATCTGCTTAATTTCCAGACTATTGCTGCTGATGATTTTTCACGACACCAATTAATGTTTTTTTGTGCCCAATTCTCGTCTTCTCATGTTGGATACAACGGAATGTAGTTTGATGTATGTTATGACTTCCCTTAGACAGTTGACTCCTTGAACTCAGCAAAATATTAAATAGTTTGATGGAAAATCAGAAATCCCAACATGTCTGCAGGCGTTATTCATTCCTATAAGAATGTTTTGCCTGGAAATCCTCTTAAATTGAATCCTCCAAGCTACCTCCGATTCCACTCTTCGTGAATATCTGAGGGATATGCACTTTTTTATTGAGAAGTCCAGGATGCCAAATATAGATGATTCTGCGAAAGAGAAATTTGAAGACACATCACGATTCAGTTGGCCTATCGAACCGATTTATGGCTACTGTGACAGGCTTTTTCAGTATGCGTCAATTGAAATTTTAATTGACATTACCTATCCTGTCTAGTATCCACAGTATTGTTATATAATCTTATAATTCTCAATATAACTAGAAACCTAAAATTTCACCATTCTGGGGACCGCGATGCCGTCTTTGGTGTGCCTCAGGATGGACTTCATGAAACTGCTGTGAAGGTGACACGCACAACGACCCAAAAAAATAATAATAAACACGACCGCACTTGTGGCTTGCTTTTTTTGTAAAAGTGTACCTGCCTTGAAAGATAGTCCAAAATTTGTGTAAACAATTTTTTTTTTAAATAAGTGTCAAGAGTTCTTAGGACATGTTGAACCAAAAAGGTTTTTAAGAACTTTTCTCTAAAGCGGACAGTTTTCGATATAAGCAATACAATGTTTAAAAATTAGACATATGCCATATTCGACCCAAAAACATTAGAAACAACAAAAATTTCAATGATGCCATGATTCCTTAGTATTCCTTAAAAATACATCGAAAAAATTCTCATGCATTTCAGGAGGTTGTGTTGTTTGTTTTATAATTGCTAATCAAGCGCTTCTACGGTCTCCTCTACACCCCATGTTGCATTTCTGTTGCACTCACTCAAAGTATTTACTGAGCACGTGATTGTATAACATATAAAAGACAAGGTCGTTTTTAACCATAATTATTATAGGATACGACGATGATAATGATGATAGTCATGAAAGAAATACCACCTACATTCAAAGTACTACTCTGTACCTTTTCACTTTTATTACGAGAGCAGTACATGAACAACCTCGCTCGTTGGAACTGCAGCTTTCTACCGCATGGAAGTCACGCCCGTTTCCATGATCAGGGGAACGGTAGTTTCCTAAAGCATGGTCATCCTATATGGATACCTTAATAATATGTTGCTTAGACAGATACGCCGAGTTTATTGATTGATACGATTCAGAGTAACATGACAACTTTAAAGTAACACTCCCTTTACACATATCGCCATTAGATACTGCCATACTCCAACAATTGCCTCGAGAGGAAGCTAGGAAGTCACACGAACCTAGGGCACCACTTCGCTCCATTTCCCGTAATAGAGGAAACCGAGCAGTAACTCCTCCCCTGGCAACCCGGCTCTGTAAGTCTCATAAGAGCCTCCAGGATCTGGTGGCGTCTAACCTCTGTAGATGTTTGACTTTAAGTTACGTTTGACTTATCTTAACGGGGCTCCTATAATCATGAGCACCAACTGCTGAGGTAACGGGGGGTGAAAAGGAAACGGTTGCGGGCTGGTCTAAGACGGTGGTCGGCGCTACTTTAGAAGAGGTAAGGATGACTGCGGGTGCCTACCCAGGTAAATTTTTATAATAACAGAGTTGGATTTCGATTAGCGATCTAGCCTGTAAATCCTTTGCTACTTTGGTACTCAGCTAGTGATTATTCAGTATTGTTCGACCCTTGTTACTGTTCGTCGATATTGTGTTGTTGAATTGTTGTGTTGTAAACTTGTTGGTGTGATGGTCCTTGAGTGAATTTATTATCAAGGTTGATAATGGACAATAAAAGGTCATATGCGACAATTTTAATAATGAATTCAGTGAGTTTAATTCATGATGAGGACAACAATAGTGTGGAGCAGTTTAATTCTATTATCGTAAAATACATTGGGGTAAGCGAATAAATAGTGAGGCACAATACCGAGCGGCCTGTCTATGTGGTCCAAATACATTCGCGTTCTAAGCTTAGTCCAACCTCGCTTATCACTAAGATGGAACAAAGACTCAAACGCAAGAATCTTGGATAGAAACTCAGACCAAAAAAAATTGATATAAAAATAGCTGTAAAGTTCTAGTAAATTCGATCATATACCCAACAGAGTTTTCTAGTAAGGCAATAAAAAAAGGCAATACAAAAGTCATTGGACGCGGCAGTTCAATCTTGTAGTTTGCAAGAACTACCTAACTGTTTCCTCTCATTGTGACGGCATAAAATATTTTTATGACCCTCGTTTAATTTTTACCATCTACCACACGACCCTTGTAAACATAATTGTTTTTATTGACATGAATAAACGAATTAGAATTTGAGTTCTTGAATATATTTTAGGAAAGATATAAGATTATTTGAATACATTTTTTCTTAGTCGGAACGCACCGTCGCGTCGCTTGGCAGGACGGAACAGTAGATAAATTTCGCCTAAAAACCGATTTGCACTTCACAGCTTATTTTTTATTATTGCCAAATGAAAACTCTTGCAGCGTGTTAAAACCAAAGTCCACAGGGTGCCAGCGATCGACTTTTTCGATTTTATCCACTAGGATCTTTTTAAAATATCAACAAGTTGAGCACAAATAGTGAGCATTTCAACCCACAATAATTCTTGCGCAAAGACAAAATTTTGTAAAAAGCTCTAATAGCACCCTAGGTAATTATGGCCTGCTTATATCCAGAAAAACATTACAAACTGCAGAACACAAAAGGTAACGGCGAAATGGGTACATTTCACGGGTTATGAAATTCAAATGAAAATGCAGGTATAAAATCTACCAAATGATCGTTTCTTTGACATATCGATAATTTTAAAGTTCCACGCTAAATTCCCCTATACTCGACTGGAGTGATATCCGAATTTATTCTTCCCTACTGTCGGTAGTTGCAGATCTATTGGCTGTTGGTGTCAAACCTATAGAGCAGGTACCGATTTTTTTAAATCGTGAGCACATTTTTCGTCAGATTTTCGATACCTAAATGTCCTGTAGTCACTGCGATCAGAAGTTACTTAGTAATAGAACGTGTTTCCCTGATTTCAACCCCCCCTTTTTAAGCAGTACAATTTTTTATGTCAATGATTGAGAACCCCTGAAACGTCAAAAACGGAGTTTCAATTGTTACTTTTTCTTTTTTGCCTATAGCACCGTTGCCACTGGACTAAAGCTACAAAGCTTTGGCATACCAGTAACCGCGTGTGGAAATTTCATAAAATCCGAGCGGTAATTTCCAAGTTGATGATGAGTGATACAGTTTTTCGTGATGTAGATGTCATATGACTTAAAAAAACATAACATCTCATTTTAGAAATTTTTCGCGATTACAATACTTCCTCGTCAGTGACACTAAATAAAACGTCTTTAAAATCGAGGAGTATCAGCGATCGCGATTATGTACGATTTGTAGAGGTTTGCACGCTTCAAAATTGACGCTTTATTTTTTGATATTTTTGGATGAAATTTTCACAGAGTGCTAAAAACAAAACCCCACAGGCTGCTATAGGGCCACTTTTTCATTTTTTTCACTAGGTTCTTTTTAAAAAAATCGCGAAGTTGAACAGAAAAAGTGCGCACTTCAACCCATCATAAAACTTGTGCAAAAACAAAGTTTCAAAAAGTGCTCCTATAGCACCCTGGGCAATTATCTTCTCAACATACTGTATGAATTTTATTCAAAAATATTGAAAAATGGAGTGTCAGTCTTGAAGCAGCTGAACCCTTGTAAATGGCTTGAAACTCACTGCGTCGGAGCCGCCTTAACTGTTGATAAGCATTTCTCATCTGACTGTTTTTTAACTTACCAATATATATCAATTATTATCGTGATT